TTTTGGTTGTCGTCTGGAAATAATTTTTCAAAAAATTCATTCAAGGTATCGATCGGATTGGAACTTTGATTAAGTGTTTGTGCCGGTATGTACTTAATTTTTGCTTCATTCATCATTTTATATATAACATTATAATTTTTATTTTGTTCATGACATTTTTTCAATCTAGTTAAGAAGTTTAATTCTTTGATTGATTGTAATCGATTACGATATTCTTGACGAACTTTTCTATATTCAACGATAAGTTGTTCGATAGTCATTTGTTCAAGTTGTTGTTGTTGGTTGTTTTCAAAATCAAATAATTCTTGATTCAAATCATCAAGCGATGAAGAATCTGAATCACTATCTTGTTCATTGATATTTTGATCATCATCATCAAGCGATGAAGAATCTGTATCACTATCTTGTTCATTGATATTTTGATCATCATCATCATCCGAAGAATCTGTATCACTTTCTTGTTCATTGATATTTTGATCATCATCATCATCATTAAGGGATTCTTCATTTTCATTAGCAACAGTTTGGTCATTGATTAGATCATAATCATTTTCAATATCAAACATTTGTTCATCATCACTTGAATTATAATCATCATCTTCACTTGAATCATCTTCACTAGAACTATCGATTGTTATTGTTATGGTTTTGTTTCTTTTTTTCAGCATTTTATATATATTTTTCTGTTTTTTCAACAATTTTTTCAAAATATAATCATTTTTGAAAATTTTCGATTCTTTTTTTTCTTGTTTTTCATGTAGTATATTCACTTTATAACGAGGTAACATTTTATTATTAATTTTTGTTAAAATATTATTCAATTGTGAAATAACATAATCTAGATTTTCTTCTTTTTCAATATTTTTGATTATGTTTACATCATGAATGTTGGCCAATATTAATTCCTGTTTAATATTTTTTGCCCATTCATTCCAATCAACATTCGTTGTATTCCATTTAACAGTTGTAATCAATTGTTGGTCATTCCGATGATGATTATTTTTTGATGACAAATTTTTATTATAATCAAATCGAATTGGAAGATGATCACCACTTATTTTAATGTTTTTCAAAACATTCCAATCGATAATATTGTCGACGATTTTTTTGGAAGTCAATGTAATATCGATATTTGATCGTATAATTCTTGTACCACGTAATGTTTCGAATGTTGGACTATTGCCTTTATTCATGATGAATAGATCATTTTCGGATAATGTTGCTAAAAGTTGATTACCTCTTTTATTTTGAATTTGTGATCCCCAAAATGGTGATTTGGCATTGAAGTCACCGCCAATTATTATTCGAAGATGATGATGATTGTCGAA